TCAACATACTAAAAAACTTTATGATAAAATACAAATATTGTAAAGTCAGAGACTTGGAAAGAATTAACGCGAACGCAAAGGAAGGTGGGTTTTTTGCCTTTCCTACTACCTTTAATATTTGGTGGTATTGCAGCGGCGGGTGCAGCAACTGGTCGAATATCTGCCACAGCCAAAGCTGCCAACGCAAAGAAAGCAGCTGATGCTAAAGCCGCTGAAGAACGCAGACATAATTTAATAATGGAAAAGGAAGCCAAAGGTTCAGGAGTGGGAGATATGATCTAGACTTGTCTAATATTGATAGCAATCGAAAGAACTTAATATTGTTTGATGACTGCGTAGCGCAAAGAAATCAGGCTGTTCAACAAGAATTCTTCACGAAAGGAAGACATCACAACTGTCACTGCATATACCAATCCCAATCTTTTTACGGGATGAATTCTATGTTCATTAGAAAAAATGCAAATTGTTTTTTATCATTTGAATTAAATGACAAAGATTTATCTCAAATCATTCAGTTGATAAATCACGGAATGGACAGAGATGCATTTAAAAAGGTTTGTAAAGCTCAATGGAGAAACCCAGATGATCATGGATATGTATTTGTAAATACTAGAAAACCTGCGGGTGAAAGAGTAATAATCGGCATATGTTCATTTTATTTTTCTAAAAATGGATAATTGGAATAATATTTTAAAAAGAAATAGAGAATATATCAAAGCTAAGAATAAAATAAAGACCCAAATTGAAAATAATAAATTTCAACAACTTGGATTAACAGAAAATCTTCAAACTCTATTTCAACCAATATTAAAATCTCAAGAAGATATTAAAAAGAAATTAGCTTTAGAACCCACACCTCATATAGATCACCCCAAACCGATTGAATATGATGGTATTATAATTAGGACCTTAGATGATATAAATCGTCTTTTTTCAAACCCTGACCCAGATTTACCAAAAAGCATTTCACCAATCGTTGATGATGAGGGGTTATTGTTTAATGGATTTAGAATAAAATTTAGTGGAAATTTCCCTATATTCAAAATCGATACAAAAGGCTTTATATTTACATTAACAAAAGGATTAATAGATTTAATGAATGGCGGGGATTTTGATATTGCCGATTACAAGGATTTAGTAGCATACTACTAGTATTTAGTACATACGAAGTTGACGTAGTAGATGATTATGCTGAAGACAACAATCCAATCATACAAGAAATAGACGAATTCGAAGATATGGTAACTGGACAAGGTATAACGTTTTTATCCGACAACAACGAGGAACTACTTACAAATAATATTAGCGGCAATGAAGGAAGGACATCGATCACACAGACAATATAATGAAGTAAATTGTATATTAAAAAGACAACTAGAGAAAGGTATTATAGATAAAACTGATTATAAAAGCGTAATTAAAAATGTCACATAAAGAACAACTATTCGTTATCACCTCAAATAAATCAGACATTAAATTGTCTCTAGATTATGAGTACACGCAATCCACTTTAGCACCACACAAAGCTAATATCGAGAATGATATCGATGTGATAAATATACATTGCAATTTGATAAACGGTGGATTTTTCAATAAATACCAACGTCAGATTATTTACAGTCTTCCAACATTCACTGTACCGATAGGATATAGAATTATAGAGAAACCATTTAAAACGACATATTTACCACTTAATTCCTTTATGATTAAAGATATAAATCTGGAAATCAAAGATGGTAAAAATAGGTTTATAGATTTTGGTAACGAGGAAATTGTAATTCAACTTCATTTAAAACAAAAAAATTAAATTTATTGAGTAATTAAACACTCTTCATTCTCTTGAATAGTTAGATAATCGAAATCATCAAATTCATAGTTTTCATCCAAACTCAATTCATCTTTGTCACCATAAGGAAACACAATTCCTTCATCGTCCGGTGCTTTTCTCTTAACGAGATTCAGATAACTTCTGAAAACTTTCATTTGTTTATCATCATCCTTTGGAATAACTACTCCATTGGTGAAACTTTTTTCCATGGTTTCTTAAATTCATTCGTCACATCATGTCCACTAGCTAACTGAATGTAATATTCGACAGCTATCATAAGAGTAACCCTTAAACGTTTTCTTTTCTTTTAAAATACCGTCGGAAGTTAGAATGATATTATATTTAACTTTTGGCGCTAAATATAAACCATATATAATTCCACCATCATCGTAATCATTCTTTCCTTTACAATAATCATTTTCGGACACCAACCCAGCTTCATTTAATTTATCCCAATTGCTAGACGAAATGTATAAACTATCAGTATCTGTATAGTATATTTCCGGCTTATAAAATCTATCTATTACGTGAATAAAATTATTTATTATTATTTTACTGTGAGATAATACGAATGACCCCAAATGACTAGGTGTTAGTCGTGTAGATTTAGGAGGTGTACAGTCAAATTATTTTTCTTCTTCATTTATTTCAACGATATCATTTACTTTAGGAAAGCTTTTGACGTGTGAATCGATGTTGGTTTTTAAAGTTGCTTCACTCCATAGATGTCTTGATGTAGTTATATCCTTCTGAATAGATTTGCCATACAATGAATTACCTAATAATTATCAATTACTACCTACGTTTACTTCCTTCTCGTTTATATTTATTTCCCAGATCTCTCAAAATTAAAATATAATCTCAATATGGTGGAGTTTTAAAATTTTCTTCGTATACTATACCATCTAATATTCTAATAATTCGTCCACCGGCTTTAACTATTTCTTGAATATCGACCGATGTTAAAACGTCTGAACAGAAACCATTTCTGAACCTGATTTTAGTGCCAGTTTCCTTTTTGCCTTCTTTGTTGGTAAAAGTAATTTTATCTTTCGCTGGTATGGGTTGGAAGAACATGTTGGTAGGATATTCAAACAAGACTTTTAAAATAGCCGATCTAGGTCTACATTTCTGCTCATTAAAGAGCTTGACAAATTTTTTCCGTTGAAAGGCTCTCGCATTTTCCGCTTTAGGATATTCACTATCTAAATCTGACATTGCTGAAGCGTATAATCCGTTGGCATCAAAGGTCATTAGTTTAGTACATCTTATTTTTCTAAGTTTTGAACTTCCGTTTTATCTTTTTTACTTTTACTATATTCTTTAAATAAATCAATTATATTACTACTCTCGAGTTCTGTGTATTCACTCAATACATTACAAATTTCATCCATTTTATTCGTTTCAAATGATTTTCGATTTGCCGAAACTCTTCCTCCTTTAATGGATTGTCTGATAAAATATCTTATAAAAGGGTGTTTATTTGAGTAAACTTTTTCTAAGTTTTCTTTCCGGTGTGTTTCGGAACCATTCTAGTACTTTCATACCATTTCTTTATTGTAATGATATAAATAATACCAACCCTTTAAAGATAAAGAAGGAGCCGTCAGAATATTGGAAATATTCTGTAATACAACTTCTTTCATAACTTTGTTATATTTTATCAAACAAGCTCCGAGACATAACGTATCTCTTTTAGAGTAAGGTTCCCATTCGTGTCTTAAAGATTCCCAATTATCTTCGGTGTATTTTGCAATATTGATATCGGTGATCTTTCTCAAATTCATCGGTAGATTAGATGAATTTACTATGCCGCCAAACTACATGTTACTAGTGGACATTGCGTTAGTTTTTTCGCATTTTTAAGCACGATCCAGTTATCAAAAACGCTACCGTTATGAGAAATTAATGTTATTCTTTTTTGATCTATTTTTCTACGTTGTATCATTTGATCGATACAATCTTTACCCACAAATATTTCTACTATATTCATTAATTTATATTAAAATTCTTCTGGAACACTATCAGTGGGATTTAAATCTGGAAAGTTATGTTTTATTCTGTCTAACATTTTTCTTATTTTTCTAAATTAATTAACGTGCAAGAATAAGGAATGGCTTTATTCGTTTCTTTTTCGCTATAGGTTTCGCAAACCCATGCTTATAAACAATCTTCGTCAATTGTTGGAAAAACGTTTAGTTTCAGAGGTGAAACTTGTGTTACCGCATTATTATCTTTACAAGTTCTCCATACGTTTTCATCGTAATTATCTTCTATTTCTATAATGCCTAAGGTTTTGTTATTTCTTCTAATGGGACAGAAATGCGATTTATGTAAGTAAAATACCCAATCTAATTCCTCGGATACTTTCTTTGGTTGAAAATGTCTATGTTTGGGCATATAAATTTTAAAATTAGTATTGAATTTCTTATTGAATTCACAGATTCTAGCAGTTGTCATAACTCCTTTTCTGTTTGATTTTGAAAAACTGTTGATGAAATCTTGAAATTCTTTTGTGTAGTCTTTGTTTAAAACACGATTTACGCACTTTACAAAGCAGTATCTATCGCTTGGTATGTAACAATTTATACCGTCACTATATTCATTTATTTTTTTGAGTATGATAACACCACTTTTTTGATCTTTTTATTTCTTTGAAATTGTTTCTACGTAAAATGATTTTTCCCGAGAAATACCAATCAGAAGCATCCACAGTTGCGAAGAAATTGCGAAAAGTTTTGGCATTAAAGCCTACAAATTTCATTTTTTGTTTGTGTTCTCCATCTTGAATTATCTCTCCATCTAATTCAATTTGCCCTTTTAATGTTGTAAATATATCAGAGACAAGGTTAATAATACTGGAAAAAAGTTCATTTGATATGAATGTTTCATCGTCTAAAATTTCAATTTTATTCATATTTTTAAGCAACTATTTTTAACTAGGAATTTTTAACTTTTATTGATGATATTTCTACATCAAATTTATTTAAAATTTCGTTGAATTTTTCTAATTCTTCAATGGTTATGTTCTTATCTTCTCTCGATCTTTCGAAAAAAATGAATAATTTATTAAGATATGTATTTAAAATTTCTGTTTTCTTTTTATAATGAGCTTTCTGTTTTGAAGTAAAACCTAAAGTAATCAATCCACAAGATGAAGTTTGAACGGCAGTGAACGCGGATAATACAGTTGGGACAATTATTGGAAGCATTAATCCACCGGTTACGGCTGTTGCCACCGTTATCCCTACTGTTAGAACTGTGCTTAATGTTTTGAAAACAGAATCAATTCTACTCCATGTTTTTTCTACATTTGTTGAAGTGTTTTAGTTTTTCTTTTAGTTCATTTTGTTTTTCTATCATGTAGTTTTGTCTGCTTTCTAGTTCCATTTTTTAGGTAATTAAATTAAGTGAACTTCTAATAAAGCTGCTACGTCTTTACTATCTTTAATAAAAACTTCTATAAATACTAACGACATTTGTTTTTTCGAATCATTAATCTTGCTTAGATGAATTGAAAGATACGGTTTTTTTTAATATAGATTGATAACATATGCATCATCATCTCTTATTGTTGGTATCAAAAAATTTTGTTTTTGTTGACTTTTATGAATATCAATTGAGGTAAATATATCATTATTAACAAAATATAGTTTTACGTATTCATACTCTGTTGCTCGTAAAAACTCATAACTGCTTGCTTCTTTTTGTGGTTCTGGATTTCTAATAATACTTACTGATGGTGGAGTTTCCGTTTCCAATATCATTTGAAATTCACTAAATGAAAGAGTGTTATTTTCTTTATCTGGTATGATTAACATTCTAAACCTATATATATATTTTCCACTCGTTTTAATTTTATATAAGTGATCATTCTTGCTGTTTTCGTCGTTAATTTCTAATTCTTTAGTTTCTACATTTTCTGTACCATTGATAAACTGAAGAACTTTGCGAGCGTTAAATTGAGAATTAGATGAAAATCTTGTCTGAAGAATATTGAATCAACTTTTACCTGCAAAGGAAAAATAATTTCAATTATAAGTTTTCCTTTGGAAATAAAAGTAGAATAATCACCAAGAAACATTTTATGGGGATTATTAACACCACTATGTTTATATACTCTTATATTTGCTGTAATTCCATATTTTTTATATTCATAGACTTTTGATCTATCAATATTATCAGTAATAGAAGCATCGTCACGTCTCAAACTTCCAAATGGAAGACTAAAATAATATGATTTATTTTCTCTCTTGAGATACTTTTCTAATGCGACTATATTTTTATCCTGTTTTAAAACTAGGTTATTAATAGTGTATAACTGTTGTTGAATAACACTATCATCAATATTCTGTATTTGTTGTTGAATATAGGTTTTGATTTCGCTATCATCAATATTTTGTATTTGTTGTTGAATATAGGTTTTGATTTCGCTATCATCAATATTTTGTATTTGTTGTTTAATATTTCTTAGTTCTTTTTGTAATTCACTATTTAGTTTAGTTTCCAGAGCATTTAATTCCTGTTGAAACGTATCTTCATTTTCACCTGGAATGTTATCTATTAATTGTTGAATGTCTAATTTTTGTTTTGTAATCTTATCATCTAATTTAGATATTAATGAAATTAAATTTTGTAACTCAGTTTTGTTCACTACGTTGACTAATTGTTTTAAAAAAAACTTAATAAACCTGCTACCCCTTGTTGTAGTTTAGGGAGCCGCGGTGGCTCAGTGAGTTAGACGCTTGCTCGCTAACCTGAAGGTCCAGGGTTCAATCCCGGCATTAGTCGAGATAATACCTTCGGATTTTTCAACCCGGTTTCCCCCTGTCAGTGATGCAGGTACGAGGGGCTGACATGGAAAAAGCGTCTAGTCTTTCGGATGGGACAATAAACCGAGGCCCCGTGTGCTACAGGCTGTGCACGTTAAAGATCCCTCGACAGTTGGAAATCGAAAAAGAGCAGGCTAATGCCACTGTCCTGGCAAAATTTCCCTCATTGCACCCTGCATGGCGTTGCTCGTCTTCATTAGCCCACATGGTGCAGACGTAGGACGTAAAACTCCATTCATTTCATTTTTTTTCTTGTTGTAGTTTAGTATCAAAATTTGTATTATTTAGTTGACGTTTGAAGAATCTTTTCACATTACTTATTTTATCTTCTAAATGGTTTTTATTTACTTCAATTGAATTTATTTGTTCCCGTAAATATTTCTTGTGAACATCGTCATTGTCATTTTCCAGAGACTTTAAATTAGTTACTTTGAAATTGTTCATATCTAAATCACCTTGAAGAGTATCCCCGATTAGATCCACAAAGTAAGGTTTCGCTATATTTATCCACGCTGTAGTGTTCGGTTTTTTTAGTTTCTAAAGATAAAGAACCTAATCCAAACTTGTTCGCCATTTTTATTGAGTTAAATTTATCATAATTTCTTCAAACTGTTTTCCTAAACTTAATTGATATAAAACCCAAAGTGAAAGCTGAACACAAAACTTTTGTCCCGGTAATTGAATTTGAAAGGTAGAACATTTGATTGGTTTATTAGTCAATTGCACTATCTCTTCAGTGGGTTCTAATCCATAAGAATCGAAGAAATATAAGTCATTTGAAGAGTCTTTGTACAAAGGAGAATGATGAACTCCTTTTTGATAGGAAGTATGTATATTTGTTATAGCGTAAAATTTACCTTTCTTATATTTCAGATCATTTATTTCATCTCTCATACAATAATAAAACGGTGATATATTTAACTCATTCGCCCATCTCATAAATTGAAAGTTTGTAGTTGTATCGGTTCCGTATTTATCGAGAAAGATATTCATTTTTAAAAGTCAGTTTTTTGATGTTCGTTTTGATAAAACCTACCTATGATTTGTTCTTTGTCTTGATCGATGAATTCATATGTCGGAGGTGATGTGGTGTTTACTTTATCAACGATGAATATTTCGTTTGTCCAGTATCCAACGTAACCTTTTTCGAATTTGCTTTTATATTTGAAAATAGAACTCGATCTCCGACTTTAAATTTGGGTTTGATATTTAAATTCTTTATTTCATTTTCGTAGTTATGTTGTGCGTTAATTGACTTTATAATATTTGGATTATTTGAGGCTTGTGTTGGTGTGACACCTATAGATGAATGAATTTTGTTATTGTATTCATCTACAACCTCTGGTAATATTTTAAGCCATTTTTGAGATTTCAATTCCGTGAACTTTTTGAATAATTTATTTTTTAGAGTTCTATTATATCTCTCAATAACTCATTATGCGTGCTGTAAATTTCAAATCCCAGAGATTTCATATTTTTGTTATAAAATTCACTTCCTTTATCTACCCACAGTTTTTCTGGATGTCGGTTAGATTGTTTCATAATCGTTTCAAATGCGTGTTCGACTGATAATCCTGTTTTGTTTTTCAAAGGAATAACCCAAGCATATCTCGTATACAAATCTATAACTGTTAAGCAATATTTATATCCTCTTTCGACTGGCATATGAATTAAATCGGCTGATCTTTTTCAAATACTTTAACTTTTAAAAAGTTTTTAGTTTTTTAAATTCTTTATGAATTTCATCCGCTAATCCCATGCCCAATTTCATCTTTGCTTTTAACAGTTCAATGATCAGAGCCGTTTGCATTCTCTCTTTGAAAGTTGGATTTGGAATATTTTCAAGTTCGATTATCATGTCTGTCTGCTTCGTGTCTGAAGTTTATGTCTTTGTTTCTGTATATATAGTATGTCGTGTTTAAGCGCAGCGGCGTCAACTCTATTGACTGGTTCTTCGCCAGGTTTCGTTTTCGTCTAAGCGTAGATCTAACCTGGTGCCTGGACCGGTGTAATTATGACCGGGAAGATGTTTTTCCCCGAGATATTTTGCCCATGGAAATCCAGGAAGAGAACCCAATGCCTTTTGTATATCTGAACCGAAATAAGTTTTTGGAGGGTGAGCGACAATCATTTTTATCCTATAACTTTAAAACCTTTCCCTTTCCTTTCTTGTAATCTCCTGTTATGCAGTTCTCTTATTAGCTGTAATTCTTTCAACTCGTCAGACTTTTTCACTGCGTCGCTTATACTTTTTCCCGCTTCCGTGATTGAGCCGAGGGCTTTCGCTTCGGATGAAATAAGCGATTTGTTGTTTGAAACAAAGCTAGCTACTTTTGGAATTATTGTTTTACCTAGAGAAAATATTGATAAAAAGATACTGTCGTCCGAATAATCTTCGAATTTGTGTTATTCGTGTTTTAGAATTAAACTCATCCTATTTATAAATGAATTAATTTAACGAAGAAATTGTGGTCTGTTTTTTTCAAAAAAAAGAGTTATCTCCCCTTCTAGAAGTTTCTAGACTAAAAATTATATTATTTAAAACGAGGCTAATAAAAAACGGATGTTAAGCGAAACAAGGAAGTTATTTTATATAAGGGTATTTTTAATATGCTTTTTTCGTTTAATTTAGGGTGAATAGGTATTTTGGGATGGGGGTTGATGGAATGTAAGGGTGTAAGAATTTATGAAATGTAGGGTGTATTGGTAAGAATTTATGAAATGTAGGGTGTATAGTTCTTTTTTGGTGTAAGAATTTATGAAATGTAGGGTGTTTAGGTTTTTTTGGGGGCCTTTCAATATGGTTGCACTTTTCCCCCATGGAATGAAATGGAATTGGAGAAAGTGCGACCATATTGAAAGGCCTTATACTACTTACAGATAGAATAACTAGCTCATATATAGATAAAAAATACAAGTTTCAATTTAGTTATCACATGAACATGTTTACCGTGGCCTTATTGTCTTATGTGTTGAGCGCAAAGACTTATTACAGAAAGATGTAAAAAGCTGACCTTAAAAAGAAAGCACAATATAAAGCCGTGCAAGGAATTTAAACAAGCCTTTTCTTTCCATTATGAGTTGAATAGAAACTGTCGAAGTACTCTTTTATTCAGATATGTTAATTAAGAATCGCCAGCTTTAAATTTATCTTATTTATTATACCACAGTGACATGTCCGAAATTTTACTAGCTGTCAGAAGATTTTGAATGATCCCCATAAAGACAATTATTACAGCGTTGAAAAAATGACAATTACGTGTTCCTGGAATAGTTAATTGCAGTGCTTTTCTTCGAACGCGTTCTTCGAACGCACTGCTTTGTTTTCGAAATGACTATTTCTTTTTTTTTGTCTACTTCTGGTCACGCTCCACAGCCAAAACTGCATATGTCACACATTATCTGACATCATTATCTCTTATATCTTGCGTGTCGCTATTGTTTAAATGTAACATGACGCATCTTTGCCCAACCGGAAATGACGTAGGACGTTAACCGTTCATTACGTCTTTACAATACCTGCTCTGAATCTATTTTGATCATAATTTTTTTTTTTTGACGCTTACTTTTGGAGATTTTATTTGACCTTTGGTGACCTTGTGACCTGAACAAAAGTTGTTGCCCCTTACGAGATATATCCGATAATATCTTCACTTTTGTTGTGCATTGTTAACTTCCGGTTCTACAGCCATTTGAAAATCGCGATTTTTAACTTTAAAGAGCTCTGTCACGTGACCTAATTAACATATGACAAAATTTCTTATATATTCTTAGAGTGCATGATCTCTCCTTTTTGGTGATATATCACACTTGGTATTTTGATCAAAATTGCACTTTTTAAAAATTGAAAATTTGAACTGACTTCTATAGTAACTGTGCGTAAATTCACGGTGTCTATAATCTACCGACAGTAACCGTTGCCTTAAAAACGTATAACTACGAATATCTCATGATCTAATGAGTGTGAACACTTGAAATTTTGAATATTATTTAACAATGTACACATCATCACAGACAAATTAAAATTTTTGAAGTGGGCGTGGCACATCCGGTAGTAATTTACCTTTACCTGAAATATTTGCAATTGTCATAACTCGCAAAGTTTGCAATTGTCACCCTAGAAATTTTACATGAAAATAGATCACTGCTTAGGACAATTTGTGATAAGATTACAGTTGTTTGCGTTCTTTACTTTAATAAAGGGAATAGGTTTAACAATTTGAAAAATTTTAAACATTTTCATTTTCGAACTTTTACCTAAATGACCTTGAAATTTGCATGGTCTTACTTTGATTTTTGATGTCCGATGTATACTTCCGGTTTTGCAGACGTCCGAAAACAGCAATTTTCGCAATTTCAAAGGCTCATATTACTTTTATTTTACCTTTGTTGACCTTCTAACCTGAACAAACGTTGTTGCCCATTACGAGATATATCCGATAATATCTTCACTTTTGTTGTGCATCGTTAACTTCCGGTTCTACAGCCAATTGAAAATCGCGATTTTTAACGTTGAAGAGCTCTGTCAAGTGACCTAATTTACATATGTATAAATTTCTCTTATGTCCTTATTACACGCAATCTATTCTTTCAAATGATATATAACACTTGGTATTTTGATTAAATTTGCGCTTTTTAGAATTTGAAAATTTTGTATTGACTTCTATAGTAACTTTGTGTAATTTTAACGGTTTCTATAATCCACCGACAGTCACCGTTGCCTTAAAAAACTTTTAACCTTGAATATCTCATGATGTAATGATTGTAAACACTTGAAATTTTGAACATTATTTGACATTGTACACATTATTAGAGACAACACAAAATGTTTGATGTGGGCGTGGCAAATCCGGGTTACTTTTACCTTTACCTTAAATATTTCAAATTGTTATAACTCGCAAAGTTTGCATTTGTCACCATCGAATTTTTTACATAAAAATAAATCATTATTTGGAACAATAATTGATAGAGTTACATTTTGTTTGGGCCTTTTACTTTAAAAAAGGGAATAGGTTTTACAATTTATAAAATTTTGATATTTTGACCATTTACATGCATGACCTTGGATAAAGGTTATTGATCTATGATGTCCATTCATACTTTTATCTTTGATGTCCGACATATTTTCGCTTTTAGAGACGTCCCAAAACGGCAATTTTCAACACTTTTAAGGTTTATATCTCTTTTATTTGACCTTTGTTGACCTCTTGACCGTAACAAAAGTTATTGTGCTTGACGAGACCTTTCCAAACACACTTTCATTTTTGTTGTGCGAATTGAACTTTTAACTTTACAGCTATTTGAAAATTCGACTTTTTACTACCGAATGTTAACACCTTTTAGTACCGAATGGTATGAACTTCATGCGTCTTTTCACTAACGAACGTTAAACGGTTTAAACGATTTTTTTACTGTTGAAAGTTTACATGCTTTTCTTTCCGGTAAGAAATCCCATTGGAACGTTTATCGAATGTATCTGGTTGGATGCGCACTGCTTCGGTACCGCTATCACGGTTCTAGTATGTCTTTAGATTTATTAAGTCTAGCTTTGGCATACAACTCTCAACATCAGTTTTTGATATAAACAAGATACATATATTGGGAAAAACCTTTTTAGCCAAATTAGCAAATTCAGCAAAATCAATTAAATCGATGTTTTGTGCTAATGATTTTTCTGTGATTCTACGTTTCATGGAACCACCTACTAGTAGTATTTAATATCGAGATCATTATCTGTTTTTAAAATATATTATTGTAGTGTACAGTGTTGAACTTAAAGTGTCGCAATAAACTGATTGAATTTCAGTTTGTGTTTCATGGGTATAATTTTCACTGAAGTCAGTTTTGATTACAAGAGTCCTCTATTTCATATTTTCTAATAAATGAGACAAATTGCGTTTCTAAGACCTGGTGTCTGTGTCGCCTATATTATATCGCGGGCCAGTAATTTTCAATGTCTTGATACCATAATTGGCCAAATTTATTATTACTATCCTTGTGAGTTCGTTGTTATACAGAAAATTACTATTTCTTTATCCATTTCTAAACACATCCGTTTCTTCTGACGAATATAAGAAAGAAGCTGGCATAGGGCAAAGATGAAATCGTTCTAACAACTTAAAACATGATGATAGAATTCAACCTTTCATTATGTCTGTCACGAATTTCTTTTCACGTTTACCCCATCTTTGATCTTCTGCCGATCCGAATGTAGCATATACGATGCCTCCGATTAAGCAAACTGCAGCATCCATATAAAACACAATTTTCCATTGCATCAAACCTCCCTGAAATTTATATACTCAGTAATTAAGCTAAGTAAGCTCAGGTCGACTTCGGATTTAAGGCATCATATACGAACTCAAAATGAGATACCGACAGACAACTATAAACTACATAGTGGCTTATTCCAACAGTTCAAGCCGAATGTAAAACAAACGTGCGAAAGCAACTGGTGACAACTGAGATTTTTTAATCATCGGCGCGCTCTCCGATTAAAATAAATGATAATAAACTTTTACCATCTATCCAAAGCAAGACGAGCACCTCATCCAACATATAAGGATTTTTAGCTGCACATACTCCAAAAATGAAAATATCAAAGTTATCAAAACCAAACCTTTCCAAGAATTATTCCATTTAAAGACGGTCCTAATATACCACTTATTGCTGAAGCCAAGCATATACTCCCTGCAATGAACCAACTGTATTCCGCTGATAAGTCTAAATTATTGGTTAACACTGCACTCCAAATAAACCCTTGGAGAAAAAACACTAGTAATATACACAATAATACCAGCTGACTTTCTAATATAAAACTCGCCACCAAAAATAACACAGCGTCTAATGCCAAACCTATAGAAAGATCAAATTGAAAAAATGAATACAGTACAGGGTCATTGAAATGACTTACACTGAACCAGTAGTAAAATATATACCACGGTTCTTACTCATTAAAGTATGGTACAACAAAGGAAAGCATGGAATTAATGTTACAGCACGTCTTATGCCATTGTAAATCGTGTTTCAACGATATTTCGAGATCTGGAAGTCCCCAATCGAATTTACCCATCGAAGAATAAGACCTTTTCAACATACTTAAAGTAATGGAATTGTGTTTTACGTCCTACTTTTCTGTATATGATGGGGCTAATGCAGACGGGCAACGCCATTCATCAATATCATTTATTATACAGAACTTACAGAAGAATATATATAACTTCCGTAGTAAAGTGGAAGAGACTTTGTATTTATTTTCTAAAAAATCAGACAGCCATCCTGCAAACAGTGTAGATGTTGCAGCACATATATGTGGTAGTGATGATGTCATACCATTCTGAAAGACATTTATTATATCTAAGATTAACAAAATTTGAAATAAATCAGGTTTTTTAATTACACTCGACAGAGTAAATGAACTCTGAATATTCTCAAAGTACAAGCAATAAGCGAAGTCAAAATGAAGCAATTTTTTATGTCTGTATAACCTTAATTGTAGGAATTCATTTCTTATTGTCTCGCACTGTCCTCTGATTGGTGATTACTTTGATAGCTGTCTACTATGGATTCAGGTGACGACAAATCCAGTCTGCCAACACCTGTCATTGATGTTCAACATGCACGAACTCGACAAACAGGAAGGCACAATATAATATACAAAATAGGGAGGCCAAGGCAAAACCTAGTGTTATGTAAACTATAGAAACTATGTAAAACAAAGTGTAAACTTTGGTCAAAAACATCTGCGATGATAGTAGAAAAATACATTACATCAAGTTGGGATCTTTGAACCAATCAGATCGGATAATACGCAAGTAATACTTACATTTACAATGTTCATATGTAAAACACTATTTAAAAGTTGAGGAAGATGACTAATCCAAGAATAAAATATAAAGATAACAGCAAAATTTGCAATCAACAGGGACCACAGTGGCAGAGAAGTCAGTATGTCTTTCCAAGGTAGGTCTTCTTTCTAACGAAAATAGCAAAAAAAAAACTGGTTCACAAACGATTTTGATGAACTTATCGTGTAAGAAAACTACTGTGACCAATTTAAATTTTAGAAAAATTACCGTGAACAATTTGCCTTATTACTACCAATTTACTACATCACCGTTTTTCTCGAGGCCTTTTTCCATGCGAGTAATTTATGGTGACCAGGTCTTTTGTGAACATATTAGCTTGTGTGTGGCCATTTCCAATGTTACTAATTTACGTACACCAAATTTTAAACTACAAAGACAGGTTTTTGATCGCTTATTCAGAAGTTAGATTATCAACAGACGTCTTGCAAACGGGCCCAAATGATTCGGTCAAAATGGACACAACTAGTGGTATATCATCAAAATAACATTATGTTTTCACATTGCAATAAGTATATACCTTCCTTGTGTGGAAAAAAGTAAGTTTTGTGAGAGCAACATCATGATGTGCCACATAGTAGACAGTAGACAGTAGTAAGATCACAGGCAACTGATCATACTAAAATGAGGTGCATGTAACTAGGATAGCCGTTTTCCAACATCTGCTGTTGTCGCAATTTATGGTAAAATGTATTACATATTGATTATCAAAATAATATCTTATATTAATGATTTACATAAGGATTTTGTAAATGGTTACAAGTTAAATTTTGAAATGCTATTATCTTTTTGTGATATATCCGTTTTTACTCTCGCTGCTTCATTATTTGAACGGTAAAGTTTCAACATGTTAACAAATAGAGAGTCTTGCTCACTGGTTTCCGCTGGATAAACTAGCCGATTCAAGTAGGCACGAGTTGCGCACCTTATTTCATATTCATTCATTGCTTATCATATAAAATGCCTCCTTTCTTTTTTTATATTTCGAAGGCTTTGAATAAAAAAACCTCGGCTGTATTTCATACTTTACATATCATACTTTGAAAGCGAAGTACAATAGCACTGTATTTATTTAAAGCAATATTGATAATGTAAGATTACCTGAGAATGATCATCTAAAAGTGAATAACGATTGATGTAATCTAGCTCTTCTTTAGAAATAGTAGGATGACTTTCTGGATCTTCTGTTATCAAATAAACCCAGAGGAGAGCAAACACCAGCTCACAACCACCTACAATGACACATTTTCAAACTATGAGCAAGTAAACGAGATGTGGTGTGGGGTATCAACAAATGGGAAAAAAACCAATACAACAGAGACCGTACACGACTACAAATTTCGATTACATTCCACCGGACACCACACCTCAACAATTTACCATTCTCAAAATTATCCTGGGTATACGGAATTCGTTAATCGAGCTTTTTTCGTATATAATGTACATTTGTCTCTACTGTACTAACAGTCTATCTGAAATTTTAACAATTCTCTATGGTAGACTTGGCCTCTTGTAAGTTATTACTTGACGAAGAAATGAAGGACAACCTAATGCTGTGCCCAACGGTCTCTTTAAAGCATACAATCGTAATCTATGGAAATTTGTTTATTGTCCAATCCAAACTACAAGACACCTTTTCCATGTCTGCGCACCCCCTCCCCGCATCGACAGGCTTCACTTACAGGAGACCAAGTTGTAAAATCTGAAAATTTTGTAGAGAATAAATGGCTTACCAAATATATAATATATAAACGGCCATCCTATACTAGAAGATATGAAACCAGATAGCGAGAAGCCTAGAATAGTACCCACATCTAAACCTGAAAAATATCTATAAAATTTATAATGATAGCTTTCAATATGTGCTGTTACATTTTGTTCTGATTTTAACTACAGCTAGGGCATTCGATTTCTTTCTTTTTTGTATCAATGCGCCGTGTATACAAACAGCATGGTATCCTTTGAAATTGACAATTCGGTTAAAATGGAAGGTAAAGGACAAGAGACTGTTCCAAGTAACATAACTCTGACTACAGGCTTCAATTTAGTAATCACATGAACGTGTTTACGAAGATGCTCAAGGCAGAGAGGTGTAAAAGGGTGGACGTAAAAATGAAAGCCCAATATAGATTTATCATTTCCATCGGTTATATTAGTTCATTTCTTCCTTTATTAGAACTACAAGTACACACGAGTGAAACAGTCTAGTTCTGCATTTTACCGGATTGAACTTACCAACAATCGAACAAGTGACTAATTTAGATTTTTCTTGAGCTGGAGACCATTTTGATAATAAAATCATCGTAGTTGGTAAAACACTAGTCTGAAAAGTTGTTGAAGGTTAATCACAAAATTATTTTATTTTTTAGTTTGAATAACAACACAATATTGTCCTATTTTATCGTGAATTAATTGAAAATCGATCGGTGGGTGGATGTAAATGTCCGTTTCTCGTTGTGCACGTTAAGATCAATCGGCAGCTAAAAATCATTGCACACTACACGGTGTTGCCCATCTTCGTTAGTCCATAAAAATACATTTATTTTATTTCATTTTCACAGCTTTTTTGGAGGCGAGTTTGCTTACAACTTGTGTTCCTTTTGTTATCGATACACCTTTCACTACATGTGAACCATTTATGTCACTATCTCACACGTGGGGATGACGGGCTGGTCAGACGGAGACGTTTAAAAGAAACGAAATGTACCACCTACCTCCAAACAACCATGGATAAACCTGAGTGTCATTAAGGCATATTCGCTCCAGCATGCGGCCAGTGCTGTAAATAGTGACGCAATGGATATTCCAGTTAATGATAGACCATATAAAAATTTTCCACCGGCAATTCTGATCAAAAAGCCTGAAAGAATTGTCATCGAAAAAAATTTCACATTATATTCAAACTAGGAGAAGCAATAACTACTAAAGCTTCTTAGTGCTTACTTTAACCTGATACCACTTTTCATTACGGCCCCGTCACACCGGAAAGCCATCCTTACTGAGCTGCTACGGCGACGGAAAATTAGCTCAGAGCCTATTAAGGCCGCCATAAGTGTGGTATTATCGTAAAGGAAGTGTCAGATATCGTACGGTGGGCGCTATAGTCGCCAATAATCGCTGTTGAGATCGCCACTGAATAGATAATGTCCTCAGAAAAAACGTCGTAACATATCCATGAACACAATAAAAGCTATATGCACCAAACCCATACATTTCATTAGAAACGTGCCTTGGGAACGCTGAGTACGACAGCTGGAGAATTTGCAATTTTAGGGGACTTTTGCGTTTTCATTACGTTTCCGGCGTCTAAATACAGTTTTGATCGCCGTAAGATTGCTATTATGAAATACTTCTCATATAAAAAGCTCATTAGCGGCTACCATTATATTGCCAAATTGCCAGCTGCGCCAAACACCGTGTGCCTGTAACTGTGGTTTTTATCCCACCGTGACCGGTAAAGGGGAGACGATTGGATGACTTGAGAAAACAATCCTTGATGAAATGGGGAAATTTGAATCGCTTGGCTTAACTGGCCACTTACCTGTGGGTATCTGGAATAGTGCCAAACCAACTGATGATGCTGCTAATATATATCCCTGAATTTCTACACTCCAGTCAAAATGTGACCAACAAAAACATTCACTCTGAAAAAATATATTAATATTCGTTTGCAATTTTCCAAATGTAAAGTCAGAAAGAGAAAATTTTTAACGCTTTGGAGTGTTTATATTGAACAGTCGGTTAGAGCGTTGGCTCTTTACATGACGTCATTTGCTTGGTTACGTTAAGCGAATGGCGGTTGTGGGTTCTGATCTCGATCAGCATGTGAAATCCAATAACCTTGAATAAGTTATCTTCACTTATAATTCCAGTCGACCCATTTGTAAAAGGACCAGCTGGTAGCAAGTGTCCTTAACTGTGAACCTAAATTGTCTGGTGTAATACAGAAAATTAAGTACTAAATATCCAAACTAGTAACGAAAAATAACAGTTTTGGTAATATATTGATAGCAGCTAATAAAGTTTTCATTTGAGAAAATTCAGAAAAATGTTTAAAATATGGTAGCAGAAAACATCAATTAACATGTTGGTAAGATAGTTCTCTGTTATTGATATTAAACTAGAGTATTCTTCATAATAATGATAATGACCATAACCAAAACCATGGACTGCCACAAGTGTTACAATAGACCTTATCCCATGACTTAATGGACGGATGTTTCAATATTTAAAATTAAAATTTTGAGAATAAAAAAACAAAAAATTAAAATTATATTTTAGAGAATGAAATTAGTATTTATTCAAATTAATTTGTTTTTTTGATTTAAAATCAAGAGTTGTATTATTAATGTAACATAACCCTCTTACCTATCAATCATCTTGACTTCATATATTTGAAATATTCTAATAAGCCACCCATGCAAAGTATTATAAAAATGAGGATTAAGAATACATTCTGATTATGAAAACCAAATCGAAGTGGAATAAATAAGAATTTTAGCCGTGGAAATTTTAATATCTAAAGGAATATAATTGTGCATCATTGTTATATACCGTTGGAAATGTGTCGTCACCCTAAAATAACGGCTCATACATCACTTCAGGTTTGGAGTTTTTCTTCTTGGGTGGCTGATATATTTATTATAGTAACATTTATGATTTACATTTAAGGTGGGGCTAACTAGCGTGATTGTAAAAAAACGAAAGTTCTCACGCTCAAAAAGGATTGATTCAAATATTATTGCAATGGATTGTTGCAGAAAATATAAAAAAAAGAAAACCTCGGACCACAAATAAATCCTTCAGACTAAAAAGCAATTTCTACATCTCCTCTGGTATTACAAACATTTTTTTGTTCATCTTGGAAACTATCTGAAGTTTAAATTTGGTCAAACGAGAAATATTAGACTCTTTTGCAGATTTTTATACAGGCGTGTCAAAAAAATAAATGACAATACCTTAGTAATATTCGTGCTGTTTGATGTGACAGCAACAACAGCCACGGACATACTGACTTTTAACAGAAAACTCAGAGCTGAAATGTACACAAATTATATATATTACATTTTTTATACTGTGATCAAAATTTATATCCTTAAAGAATTTTTTATAACGCCGAATAAGTAATTCAGTTTGACTCGCTATGTTAGCTAAACTTATCTTCAGGAGCATTAATTCTGATCCAAAACAGCGATTCACTTCTGGAGACAGAAGGAGATTAAAAATTTGATGTGGTAACACGTATAGGTAATAGTAAACACCTGTGTGCAGCCTTTGTTGATCAAAGGAAATAAAATATGTTTCAGCTTCAAAATAACAAGATTTATTTGTGTTCAAATTTTGATTCGGTCTTCTCTTGTATAACTGTATAACGTTTCAACACAATTTACACGTGTCTTAAAATGAGGAAGAGGGGGATGAAATTGAGAATACCATAACAAAAGGTTAGATTTAAAAAGGCATTTCATTTTTTGTAAAACATTTTTATTATCATAAACGTTGTAAATTACAACTGAGAATATTTCTAAAGTACATCTATGTAACTACTTGATCTTCTCGAGTATTACGTCCTACTTTTCTGCACCATGTGGGTTAATGAACACGGGCAACGTCATGTAGGGTACAATCAGGGAAATTTTGCCAAGACAGCGGCATTAATCTGCTCTTTCTCGATTCCAAACTGTCGAGGGATCTTTAACATGAACAACCTGTAGCACACGGGGCCTCATTTTATTGTCCCATCCGAACGACTAGACACTTTTCCATATCAGACCTTCTTACCTGCCTCACTGACAGGGGGTAAATTGGGTAGCATAATCTGAAGGTATTATCTCGACCTATACCTGGATTGTAGCTTTCAAATGGCTCAATATCATTAGTTGATACGTAGAAGACACATTTCTCTACAATAGCGCATATATTTTACTTAATTCCGTACAGTAGTTTCTTAACAGCTTCCTAAAAGGACAACAAACTTTAAAAGTTTGCGCACTAATCTTAATGGTTAAGGTGATAAAAATTAACAGGTGTTTTTTTTTTGTTAAAACTTTCAACTGCGATGGAAGATGTCTTGGTGACAGAGACTATATCAACTAGACGTTCCACTTTCGGATACCCCAAATTTCAGAGAGAAGATAATCTTGTGAACGAATTACATAAATACATGTAGTTTAATTTCTTGTTTGTGGATTTATTTGAATGAATTATGCGATTTTCGCACAACATTTGTAGATCTTAAGACTAATTACATATATTGAACGCTTAAATCCACCCTCCCCAAATGCCGCAACTGTCCTTTTAAGAGTCTTTCTTCCTGATTTTCAAATAGAATTAAAAGTTGTTTAGCATTAAATTAGTGTTAATGGACAGACAGAATAGAATTACATAAGACTTAATTTTATTTGGTAGATACCGGCCAATGTTTTTCGAGCAGAATAGAATTAAATTAGACTTAATTTTATTTAGTGGATACGGGCCAATGCTTTTCGAGCAGAATAGAATTAAAGTAGGCTTAATTTAGTGTATACGGGCCGTGTAACATATTTTTTGTCGCACTCTCTGAAGAAACAAATGAACTTTATCTTTCATTTTTTGCAAAATAAATGTGCCATGCAATACATGATTTCAATTCCTCATCCAAAAACCTTTAAAATCATATAAAAAAACAACAGATAGGTTCAGCGGCAAAACTAAGACTAAGACTCTGCTTGGTCTCGCATAAAATCTCTCGTCACTTCTGATTACGCATAAAAGTTACTGTAAAATTACTATAAGCAAAGCTAAAAATGATTATCTTACCCGCTCCTATACATAGCATTAACACTAAAATAAATCTTTTTCCAACATAGCACGTCACATGGAGCTTTTCTTTGCATTTCTCATAGGTGTTCGAAGATTCGAAAGAGCCATATTGTACATTGTTCATGTTGTGATCTATAATAACTGATCTTGGTTAGTGTTACTGAAACTGAAAGGCAGTTAAACTTATCTTATGCGAATCTTTACCAGATGCTACATTTTGAATAGCTCAGGGATTGGTTGAACCAAATCCACGGGATCCGGTCCCTTGGAGGGCACCACCCCCAGAACAAATAAACCAAAATAAATAAAGTGTACCAAGCTAAGTATGTCAAAGGTTAAAACCAGATGCGATCCCCATTGAATCCCCGGTCTCGGAAGGCTGACGCCGCCACTGCTTAAAACATAATATGAAATGGTTCACAACTTATGCTGGGGCCCTACCAAGAGCTATGACTACCTATGAAGTCTCCAATAAATGAAAATTACTGAGACATTTACTGTTGCGGGCAGCATAGTATCGGCGTCTTTAATCTTCCGACCACTCCGACGGATCATTAATAGGTATTAAATTAACTTACAGAGGTGTCCCGGGAAGGGGCCCAATTAAGCCCACGGAACATCACTCATCTAATTAAGAAACTGTAACTCTTCTAAGGTGCTGCTGGTCTCTCATAGAAGCTAATTCATTTAAAGAAATTCCTCACATTGTAGATATTATCCGTGGTAGCATATACAAGTATACAACAATGATCTTGATCAAACTGTTTTCTGAAATAATCTCCACGATTTTAATGGTGTAGTAGAACAGAATTAACAAGACTAACGGTATTTTAAATGAAAATTTGGAAATTTTATCAGAAATCTTGCTACGGTTAAAACGATCTTAAGTATAAACCATATAGCTATATTTCCTATCCAATCAATTTTTATTTTGTTTTGGATTTCGGTATGGTACTAAATTTATTAATTCTCACTCATTTATTTTCTATTCTATTAGTATTAGTATTAGTCTTAGTCTAAGAATAACGTTAACAAAATGTAAACGGGAGCACACAGAAAGCAATTCTCAGCGCAAATATGGCCGACATTCCCATTCACTGTGTAAATATTGGTAAATTTCGATGTAACAATGAATGTGCGGAGACTGTTGGTATATGATATTATCACTAATTATTATGAGACTTACCATTATTACTTATCAAATGACAGTTATACAGTTTAAATGATCCAATATAAGTGATATGAAATGGAGTCTACGTCTGTTTATTGACTACATTTTGAATGAAGAGGGGCATCGGCATGACATTAGCGTGGTGAAGTTCAACCTCAATCGATTTGGAATCTAGCCCGGACCTCTTGATAATCGAATCAAGTCTTATTGGCTTTTATCAAACATATACGTGTAGTAATGTAGGACACAGTGACGATTCTTAGGGTAGGGAATACAGAATATTATAAGGATATTTGAGTCATTACACCAAGCACTGAACTCAGATACAAGTAAAAACTCCATTTGTAGTTTAATTGCTGAGACGCGTCACAATTATGTATCACGTACATTATATTGAAATAGTATTGTATACAATGGTTGAGGTCAAATCCCGTGTTAGTGTTCCGTGTTAGTGTTAACACTGGTGTTAGTACCGAATTTGGACACTAACACTGTAGTTGGATATTAACACGGAGTGTGTAACACGAGCTTACTATCGGTATGATTTCTTGGATGTTAAATATTACACAGAACTGATCTGTTTGGATTTTTAGCCTTAATTAAAATTTCTAAAATATATTTGATGATTTGATATAGTATATTAAAGCTTTATTTGAACGTATTCATTATTTCTTAACGTGGTTTATTTGGTGTTAGTCCGCAAGACTTGACCTCATACTGGTGTTCCGTGTTAGCCCTGATTATAGGGTACTAACACGAGCATGAGTTCAAGTTAAGCCATTTTATTTTATTTAAAATGTTTTTTTATACCGGTTGCTCAAGTTGTTGCTGTACAAAATAGAGGCGACAATTTGGAAAGGCATCCTGCTACATGTGCGGAACCGATTGAACATCATATCCAGGTGAATGAACATGAATTAGATGAAACACCCCGCCAGCCTAAACCGCCCTAAGCACAGGGGACTCCTCGCTAAGCACCTTGCGTTCGCCGACACCGCCCCGAATGCGGCCGCCCTCGTGGTCCTCATCGAGTGAGGTGAATGAACAAAACAACAATTTTTTAAAAATATTGTTTATATGGTGTTAATGAAAATGTAATAGATTCGCGTAACACCAGACATACAATATAAACACGAAGAATAAGTTCAAATGTGTTATGTATTGGTGTTAACACTAACACTGAACACTAACACGAGATTTGAACTCACCCAATGTTTGGACAGAACATCAACTGGATCGTCATAATTACATGCTATTTTAGTCTCTGGATAGACAAACTCTGTTTTTATTGTGCACCATAGACACAAAGGAACTACATTGAATACATGACGGATTAGTCTGCGAAGGTAACATTTTATGGAAAGATAAGGAAATAATTCGTTTCTGCTTTAATAAGTGCAAGTGATTTTACCTCCACATTCAAAAAATTCGCTCTAAAGTGTGAAATTAAATCTGTAATAAAGCAAAAATTTTTCGAATGTGTGCAGTGTGCTTCGACTTGCGAAATTATGAGAATATGATTTTTAACGACTGTTGGCATCTGTTGGCATCTGGTGGCATCTGGGAAAGTATAATTCGTAGATGAATTCATTCCACCAGAAAGTACATATTATAGATATAGGATGATTTATGGTTTAAAAAATAAACAATAAAAAAATTAGTTTTTTAATAATGTATTAAAACAATGATATAAACTATAAAGAAAAATAAGAAAAAAATTCCAAATTTAACATAGATAAATCGGATTTATGGAATGTTAACTATTTAAAATTTTAAACATTAGACGTCCCTATTACGAACAACTGTGAGGTAAATTATACGTTTGAAGATATCTTTAAAATGAAAGAATATGTTAAAAAAAGAACATCAAAACAGACAATATGCACGACTAAAATCATTTTGTATAAAATTCTTAAAAACGTTGAAATTTTCAAAAGTAATGAACAAAAATTGTTTAGAAACTTCATCAAAAATTGTTTCGTTTTTTTGTTTAATAGATATTTTCTTAGACAATGTTTTAATAATTTCTTTAAAAATGTTCAGAATTTCATCTCAAATTGTTAAAAACAATATTATGTTAACAACAAAAACTAAAAATCTTCGAGAGAAGATTAACACGTAAAAGTCTTGGAAGCACTTAAAAATTCATTGCCATTAAAATGTTTCTGTAAGAGGATACCTGATCACTGGCAAATAAACAATACAAATTCAATAGTCAAAGTACCGCAAGAAATCCTCGTCGTATACATTTTTAAAAAGTTCGTGTTCATCTAAAAGGTCTATTATTATGCGTAAAAAATGTGCATCACTAATGTATAATGTGCAATGTAAGATCTCTAAAAATATTCATTGAATCACATGTACACACGATTTACATCTTTTCGACGATGTACTTTTCATTAGCAATGTTATACGGCGGCGGCAATTTCTTTCCGTTCATTACGTTCTGCACGCCCAATTCACATTCGTTCTCATAACCATCGTTTATTTGTCCGGGCTGAAAAGCATCGTTTATTTGTCCGGACTGAAAAGCATTGTTTATTTGTCCGGGCTGAAAAGCATCGTTTATTTGTCCGGACTGAAAAGCATTGTTTATTTGTCCGGGCTGAAAAGCATCGTTTATTTGTCCGGGCTGAAAAGCATTGTTTATTTGTCTCTGGTATCTTCCTGTTCTGTCTTCTGGTAAAGCTGGTCCCCAATCGCTTTGGGGTTTAAAGGCATCAGTCTGTAACAAAGAGAAAACAGTTGATAATAGTCATTAGAACCGGAATTTAAAATTGATTTTAATGTAGTTTTAATAAAAAATCAGTTTACTGTATTTTTCATCTTAGGTGAAATTTGTGAAACGGGGCCAATCATAATACACAATAACTTTTTCACCCCATTTGACCACAGAAACTGTTTTTTAAGTAGCAATAGGCAAAATTTGTGGATGCGATGATGTCATAGACTTGCTTTCCATAGAACACAACCTTATTACCTCAATTACTTTCTTTCATTATTTACGTTGTGGTTATGTTGGCTGGCCTATAAGCAACAGAAGATTATTAGAATCTTTACTCTACTTTCTGGTTTAGCGAAAACAGCAAGTGTTATGGAACATATTGCAGAATCACTAATTGGCCAGTAGGCATCAAATTAAATGAACCAAATAAAATTCGTAATATTTATATAAGACTTACTACTCCATAACGTATAACTTGAATAATCATGACCAAGAAAAAGACAGCAACCGGTATCATAGCTAACATCCAACCAATACCTTCTGCCCATGATGGGAATTTATAATCACCGTAATAGGCAGGGGTGTAGTAGATTCCAGAAATAATCATAATGAACTGAAAAGACACATCAAGTTCATTATCTTTAAAGGACTTTACAAATTCCAATATGTAAAAATTCATTTATCGGCTTGAAAAGGCTACATTGAAGTCAAATTGTCTCAAACAATAACATTTTGTCGCGGATAGGATCCTTGTTTCTGAACAGTTATTCTGGCTATAAAAAAAGAAGTGAACCTCCATTACAAAATAGTTTTGTAAAAAATGGTATAAAAGGAAGCCTTAAGTTACAAAAGCGAATGTCATATGTCATTCTGAGGTTTTTGTGTGTCTGTTCCAAAGGCGTCAAACGCTTTGTATCTCATACTTACAATAAGAGCAAGTGGTGTCAAACCCAACCAGGTTACCAACCAATATATATTTGGTTGATATCCAACCATCATTTCTACATCTTTACAGAAATTTCGGAATCCTGAAAGGAATTAATGAAAGCTCTAACGACTGCCGAAGAAGAATTTTGTAATATTGAGAAGACATGGCAGGTATGGCACCAGACAATGTATGCTTACCCACCAAGACAACTGATATCACTGTTCATTATGAAATCGAACCCATCGGGTATTACTGATAAATAGTAAATTCATTGCCAGATTATAGTTTGGATTTCGGGTTAGTTTTGCTGAGCGAGTTCGTACAGCGTCATTCAGTGTGCCAGAAGCAATGCTTTACTTATTTACCTCTTGACTGTCGAACTTACATCCGAAGGTAGTTTCCCGACCCAGCAAGAGACTTACAGCATATGGCGTGACAACCATTGCTCTAATCCAATTTTCAGTTTTTGAGAAATAGGGATTTGCCGTGAACACAATGAAAATTCTAAAAGGATTAATCTCTTACCATACACATACATAAGACAAATAAGTTCCATAAGTGCCAAGAACATCAGATTATAACTACCGGAATACCAATCGAATAGTGTCAACACATAGATACCACCCTGAAAAATTAGATTGAGGTTTTTGTTTGATCAATGTTTTGTAGAAAACGTTTCCCTCTGCATGTGCGTCATTTTTTTCTGATAATTTTTCATTGAACGATTATGTAATTTTAAAAACAAAAGAATCACTTGGTTGGATTTATATCAAAATTTGCAAAAAATATATCTACGGAAATAATGTTATGTTACCAGAGTTATAAATAAAATCGACAAAGTATGAAGCGATAAAAACAAAATCCAAGAAAATAATCACATCTCAATGGTTTAATGGGGATTGGCAATAACATTACAATTTCTCGCACAATCCAAAACTCCTATTTTTCGAATTTTTTTCTTCCTACTGCCCGTTTGAGGGGTCATTGATCGATTGCATTACTGGCAGCATGCCGAGTCTCAATTGTATTTGATCAAGTGCATGGAAGTTAGAATACTAACCCTAGCTGACATAGGAATACCAAGTAAAAATCCAATCATACAACAGAAGAAGGTGAAACTTAATTTCCTCTTTCTAAGAATATGTGGGAACAGATCGGTGATACCACTAATAACCGTTTCCATCATAGCAAACTGAAAAGAAAAAGATTTATATGTATGTCATCTCAAACCATTCGATTTCACTATTTATTTCCCCGATGATGTACATGAAGCAAATATGTCTTGAGTTTTAAATCTTTTCGAATTACCCAGATTCAGTCTAGTCCAATTCTTACCTGAGAATCTAAACCGAGGGTTAGAATCATAAAGAAGAACAGGAAAGCCCAAATAGGAGCAACAGGTAGACGGGCAATACCTTCTGGATAGGCAATAAAAGCTAAACCGGGACCTGAAATTGAAATTGAAACATAAAAAGTGAAATGTAGTTCTTTTAGCCAAAAGAAACATAGAAAATGTAAATAATTGTTACATAAGGTCAGCGTACCGAAAAATGTCAGAGGTAGCTTTTTGGTAAGTTGTCCTCCACATTTTCAGCTTCAAGCATAAATTAGCTTATAGAACATTCTTAGAGTGAAATTCATGATGTTCAGAACAAGTACAAGAAAAGACTTTTACCGCCACGGTTAGATATTGTATGCTCCCCTTGAGTTTCTATTGAACTCTTTTACACAAGCATATTTTCAATAATTATTAACTGTTGTGTGTATTTGACACAGCTCATTTGCAAAATTAGAGATGGTTTTATTGTCTGACAAATTATATCCAGCTTTGTCCACTGTGTTCCGAAATGGTAAAAATAAAATACCGTATCAAAATTATATTGCATCTCTAGTCCTTAGGCTGGCATGGGAAATACATGTTTTAGGATATACCTACCATCTTGTGCGACATCGGCTACGTCTTGATTGGTAACATGGGCCATAAAACCCAACAATGAGAAGATAGCAAAACCGGCAAATATACTTGTACCACAATTAATACAAGCTACCAATATAGCATCTCTGCAATGGTATGAATATGGTTGAATTAATATTAGTCAACATTTGTTCAACAACAGTGTATTTATGGGCAGCGTAAATTCATTTTATGGACAATACGGTACTAATATCTTGTTACAATATTTCATTTTATAAATTTTGTCTTTAAATCTCTAAGTGCATATAACAATAAGGCTCTGTAAAAGATTGCACCGAGCAACATTTGCCTCTCTGAAAGGGAGGCCAAGTTGACCAACGGGGTCGCTGATTAACATCAGGTGTTCCAAACGGGTCTTGACTCCCCAGCAATACCCACAGTAGTATTAATTTGATAGCTCAAATTCAATAAAATGGATTTTGGAAGGTTTTCATGGGTCTATGTTGGTTTTGGTATATTCAACTTTAACGAATTTAATTTTTAGGGCCAAATGCTTATAGGCGTGTATCGTATCAGCAAGAACATCGGCTAAATGTGTTCTATTCAAAATGTTCATAAGATATAATCATAGAACAGCCTATTTATTCAATCATTCGAACAGTATGTCAATGTTAGATCAAATCTAAATCACATTAAAATTAAAAGCAGTTGAATGACATTGTGGAAAACAAACATCATACGTTATGCAACGCGCGCCATACTGACGATAAAACGATTTAGTGCAAGCATTAGAGGGGGTAGGGTAACAAAAACCTACCTGTAGACATTATTTCTAAACTTGTTATACGAGGACATGGTCAATAATCCACCAAAACCAATACCCAAAGAATAGAAAATCTGTGTAGCAGCATCACCCCATACCTAATAAATAAGATATAACTGAGCAAGTACATTTCATTTACTTGCAAATTTGTATTCATGAAAGGTAAATCGGCAAAGCTCATTTTCTTTCGGTCTTTATTCATTGAGATTTTTTATGCTCTAATTCTGATCATTTGTTTTATCGAAAACTTAAACGATAAACTGACGTTTCTGCACCCGAGATTGGGCTAATGAAGGTAGATTTTGTCAGGACAGTGGCATAAGCCTACCCTTTTTCGATTTCCAATCGTCGATCGATCTTTAATTTGTAAACAGGGCCTCGGTTTATTGTCTAACATAATGTATCATGTATTGTCTTACCTTAGGATCCAACAGTTTTTCTGGTTTAGGAATAACATAGAAGTCAATACCCTTTCTAAATCCAGGTAAAGTCAGACCTCGGATTAATAAGACAATAAGAATGATGTATGGGAAGGTAGCAGTAAAGTATACGACCTAGAAATACAGATGATATTGGTAAGTTATAACAGATCATCTTATGATATAAACAAGCGTTTAGTTTGTCCGTTTAAAGACCGATTGATTAGATCTAGATGTCTGATTTAGGTTTTGCCTAATAATTCACAATTTTGCCCTTGGATTGCAATGTAATGGGTCTATGTCGGTTTTGATCTTTTGACATAAGAAAAGCATGTTTATATCAAAAGGGTGCTCCAGTTCTAATGAAATGTAATTAAAAGGGTTAATGTCAAACATTGTGCCATGAGCGAATTACCCATCTCTTTTCCGAAATTCAACAGTGAATTAGCCTACAGCACATGGAGGGCCTCGGTTTATCGTCACTTTCGAACGACAAGACTCTCATTTTAGGTCAGCCCTGAGCCCCTCCGACCTGCATCACTGACAGAAACCAGTTTGAAAAGACGGTATTAACTCAAAGACCAGAATGTACTATAAAGTATAGAATTAAAGGACCTACCTTTCCAGTAGATTTAATACCCTTAATTAAACAGGCGAAGATGAGAATCCATGTAAAGAATAACAATAAACAATTTCTCAAACTGACTCCACCTAACCATTCCAAACCATCGGCTTCTTGTAACATCAATACAGAACGTCTAAACAAATGAAGTATTCTATATAACAACTTGGAAAATAATGCATAATTTGTACACTGATATTTACTATCCGACAGACCTCTGAGTCGAGGTGAACCTTAAATTCAGATGAAAAGAATCATATTTACTATCTCTGAAATTATCATGGATTTAAATGAGATTTCTCAGTCAATGATCAAGATCTTTTGGGAAATGTGTTCAACAGCATCTGGTACACCGGTTGTTCAAAGAAACTGACACTCTTGCTGGTGATAAAAAGTAAAAAGCTTACGTCCAATATTGTTCTGAAGCAGTTTGCCATTTCAATTTACAACCTTCAACCAGTTTATCTTGTAAATATGTAGAATTGAAATCCTTTGGCATCAACATAGAAGTTAGATTAAATTTTTCCGTTAAATTTGCTGCAAATTCTGTGGCACATGTAAAGTTCACCACGTTGCCTGAAAAAGCAGATTTATACGTAAAAATACATCCTTTCAGCAACAGATACTCAGAAATCTTCAAATTTAAATGACCACTATAAATCTAATTTGTCGAAATCATGTTCAGTTACTTCCCTTGGTTCCTTTGCTCATTCATAACCCGAAACTAAGTTTACTCATCTTTAAAAAGGGACAGATTCGCAATTTTCCGAGCTGGATTTGGGTCATGAATATGTAAATAGTGTTCAGAAGTAGGCTACCACAAATGTACGAAAATCGCATGATTCCTTCAAAAATATTTTCCAACTTCCAACTAGGAATTTCTTTGTTTTCTATATATATATATATATATTGTATATGGCATATATATATATTATAATATGGCAGAGTCAAGAAAAGACGAGTCGTCTTTTTAACTTTCTAACGCGTCTATTTCTGGATACACATGGATTTAAATGCTTAAACTGTGAGCTGTGGACACTTTCTGATTGGCTTAGCTAAAAATAATCCTGTTTCTGATATGGTACGATTGGTAAAAACTAAATATATTTGTTGCATTTTCTATTGAAGAGTTCCTACTAACCTTTCAAAGCTTCGACTTTGTCCGATTCATTCATGGTACTAAGTGCTGGGTATGGTTCGATTCGACACGTGTGGTCATTCCATGTATTGTTACATGTTTGCCATGGTAATAGTGTATCCATGTTAACAAATGATACCAACATGTAGTAAACAGCATACATAATGATAACATTGTAGTAGATACTAACCATACCACTAACTAAACACATACCAAACCCAATACCTGGTAATGGAAACATCAACTATTAACAGTTTGTCAAAAAATATTAAAATTTAGTAATACAAAATTACCAATGGTGGGCACAGGTCGAATGGAAAGACATCCACCACAATTGAGGGTCGAGTCATATATGTACGACCGCTCAGGCCGTAAGCAATGGACAGCAACAGGGGTTTTGAAGTCGTCGATGCGCTTCAGTCGGATTAAGCCAGCGAATGAATACATCTCACAGATACCACTAACATTTGGAAACATGTAAAAAATTAATATCATCCACCTATTAGTAAGGTCGACGTGTATAATGCAAAAACCTATTTTTGTAATATATGATATGAAAAGAAGATGTTCACTTTATAGTAGACCATAGAGCACACCCGAGCAAGAGCAAGTTTACAGACTTAGTTTATTTACCTGAAAATGCAGGACTGACTTTCCATACTGTGATTGGGCCTTCTGAAGCAAATTGTCCAATAGCCAACTCAATAAAGAAAAGTGGTAAACCAGCAATGGTCAACATAATAACATAAGGAATCAGAAACGTAGCTGAAACGATAAACAGTCAATCGTATTAGTAATTTTTAGGTATAAGAAGGTGAGAGCAGACACCGGGCCAAGTTTCGAAAGCACTGGAACAGGCATCATATTTTTTTTCTTAATCTCGAGGAGGATTCCAACCCACGACATATAATCGCCTTACTGACGTCAATCCAACTCCATGAGCAAGTACGGGGAACGGGCTGGAAGCTATCAAATGAGATGAGAATATATACTTAGGATTTAAGTATTTCTTTATTAGGTCCTCCAATACCCTTTATTCAAAGAGGTTGATTTGTCAGTTGACCGATGGTTCCAGGAGGACGTGTTTGTCCGACATCTGAATAGTTGTTGAATTGAACGAGTTGTGAAATGTGAGTTATTTCCCAGTAGTTATTATATAAGCATTGTTGTTACCATCGATGCAACACATATTTATGACAAAATCATTGACGCAGTTTCAGATTTCTGAAATATCATCTCGACTGACATGACAAAGAAATATTTTATTTCCAAAGATCTTACAACGATAACCCATCTGCTTAATATCTGTATTTTAAAATCGGACAATAAATCACACAATAAAGTAGGCTTATGCCACTGTCCTGGAAAACATTCATTGCACCCTGCATGGCATGGCCCGTCTCCATTAGCTCACAAGGTACAGAAAAGTAGGACAAACTTCATTCATTCATTTTTCATTTAAATTCCGCGTTAAAATACTGAACTAAGCACTCACCCCCGCCATTTCTGTAGGCTAAGTAGGGAAATCGCCATACGTTTCCCAAACCAACAGCATAACCAATACAGGAGAGTAAAAAATCTAATCGTCCACTCCAATTTCCTCTATCAATCGGTTCGTCCTGAAATATGAATATTTATTTGATTAGAAAATATGACTGGTTCGTCATCAAACAAACACGTACCGGCAAAGGTAACTACAGTTAAAATATTCGGGCTATTATCATTTTTGCACATCATAACCAGTAACAGTAAGAAACAAGTGTAGTTAGTGTACGCGAGAATCTTAAGGGATTATACAGGATTTCCTAAATTTCATATGTATCGGGGACACTGGTTGCATCAATTTGCAAAATTCCATTTTTGAATCAGACGTGTGCGTTTCCTGCAATTCCAATAAAACTAAGTGTTTGGTGACGTCACTAATGGGCAAAATAATATGCTTTATCACATACAGACTTTTGCGATAAATGACATCAAGCACATAGTTTTTGTAAAAAATTTTTTTCTTTTGAGAGACCTCTTTATAATCCCTTTAAGTGCAAGATTTTATTCCGTCGGTAATTCTGATGTCTGTTAATAAGCAATAAATAAAAGTTGAAAGCTTGCATGCCTGCAAACTGTTCAGAAGATAGGGTGTATTTAAATTTGCGGTTAAATTTGCGATTTAATAGTATTCATGGTTTCCACATTACATGTTAACCCAACTGTTCATATTTAATCAACAAGAAAATCTTAAATGTTTCCAACGAAATTTTCTTTTTAAAATAGTATGAAATCCTATCAAATAATTAAAAGAAAAAAGCACTTCTATTTTACTTTTTAATATTTCTTAAACAAAAAGCCACAACAAAAGATATTGAATTTGGGTTATGACACATCTTTCTGCTCCGGCGAGTTTTAAGAGACAAGTAAACAAGATTTGACTGATTATTTAAATAGGTTACTAGGATGACATAGACATTCTGTTATTCGATCTAAAGATTTACGCCAATTCATTTCAAATAGTCAGATAAAATTTCGTTTCAAGTCAGGCTTTGTTCAACAATTTTTCGGTTGATTCAAATCATGAAATCATCATTTTTTTCAAAAATTCTTAAAAGCTTGAGCTTCAACCGAGCATTTACTAATAAAAAAAAAGTCCTTTTGAAGTCAAGTCAATTTCAAGTCTAATTTTCAGAGTGCACATAAACTCACCTAGAACTTTCAACTGCCTTGAAGTGTAAAGGTCGCGAGACAAGAAAGTGGACATTTTCAACTCATATAGATCTTAAAATAAACAAGTGGTTGAAGTAACATTACGCACGTAATATTACAATATGTTTTTTTCAGACATATCTTCAGAAATGCAAACAGTCTTTGTAGTTTACATGCAAAGGACGTTCTAAAGCTGGACAAAAAATAGTCCATGTATAAAAATTAATCAAAAAACTAGTTGCACTCAAAACAGAAAACTCGCATTAAAACCTTGCAAATCATTGAAAAAAAATCATCTGATTTTTTAAACATTTTCAGTGGCGACAACCTTAGAAACCTATCAAAAATAACAGTATAAAGACTGGATGCGATATGTTTCTGATAAATAAGTCCATTATAACGTACATGTACCACTTCTTTTTACTTTTGAGAGGACGAAATAATCGGATTTAAGATTTAAGATATGACACTTTAATTGCAATAGTGAACAGTGCCTGTTTAATCAATGAAAGTCGGAGTGACTGACGAGTCGAACTAAGGCCTCGTGTATTGCAACATGTGTGCCTTATCGATCCTCCATCTCCTTTTGCCCAAGGTGGATAACTGTATAATGTACTCGAGTTTAATAAATTACAGAAGAAGCCTTTGAATGTCGTTTGCCGAGTGATTAATATCTTGCATTTCTTTAATAACATAATCTATAATGTATTCATATTCAGGTTTAAAAGGGCAAGTGATTGAAAGCTGTTTCAAAATCTTAAGTAAACATGTAACATGCAGCTATCTCATTTAATAGCGAAAGGCATCGTACCCTCACGTACATATACATTCGAAATGAGCGTCAGACAGGTATTCAAGCATAACCGATAAGAACCGATACAATAATCATTAGTTTGATTGCATAAGCTTGGGGTCAAGCTGCATAATGTACTTCATTAGGGCGCCTTCGTCTACCCAATAAGCTGCAACGACCTTGTCGCACTGCAAATACACATGCAATAAATTTTTAATAATGAAATAGGACATTTTCATCTCGATTGTGCGAAAGCCTTTTAGGTTACGATTGATCCATGTATCTTAAAAGTCTACATTATATTTTTGCTTTGGCCTTCGGGAGAATAGATCACGTGATACAATTTTCGATTGTATGTCTTACTGTAAACAAAGATTAATATTCAGTATCACAATCTTCGATATTCAAATTTGGATATTTACATATTGACACTTCTAGATAAATATACATAAGGTGTTGAGTAGACATAGACTATGTACACTCGCCGAAATATTCTATGTAAAACTTACTTATTAAAGAGAGGTCGAAGTGGTCATATCTGAAAGCAATACATAAAATCTGAAATTCACAATTACATGCTCAAACGGTCAATCGTGAAAGTTCTACAGCGGATTCAGCATTATGGAAACTGGCGAAGATTTCCGAATGTTACATAATTTGCTTCGTGATGGAATATCATCAAGGGTTAGTGCGTTTGCACATTAATTGTATGGTGATTATAATTGATTCGTGAATTGCTGTGTACAAATGTGCAAAGTATCTTTCCTCGGCTTTTTACTTACTTATTCGTTAAACGATTAAATTAAAAAGGACACCAGCTTCAAATAGTGATAAACGAATTTGAATTGACATAAGCACATTGTTTTGGAAAGGTTTTACATTTTCATAGATATTTGGAAAGGTTTTCGAATAAATCCTCTCGGATGCTAGCTTTCTATTTCTGTTAACACATTATAATTTATGCCTATCATTTACTGCTTTGAATGCAGCACATAGTGTAACAAAATTAAGATGGGTACATCTTTCATGATATTTACGGTAAACAGTAATATTATATGGGGTTTTTAAAAGCTCTACAGAATTTGATATTCAATAATCCAAAGAACATACAGTAAAACCCTATTGATGTTGTTTGAACGACATTGACCCAATGGGGTCATATTCCCCCAATGAGTGTATTATTGTCCAATAAGAGCATTTCGTGAACAAATAAAACTGTTAAACATTATATGTTTTTAAAGGGCTGGCGTCACCACGTTGGTATAATTGGACTTCTGGTTTGTTCTGCATGATCAGATGCATCTTTACAATGTCAGGCTATTGCGAACTACGGTGTATACCTTGACTGCAATAGCCACATTTTTTATATCGAAAGTTTGCAAATGCAACGATTTGATTTACACAAGCGAATAATGCCAATCAGAGGATACGCAGAAAGTCTGTAAACATTCCGTTCGGGGAAGTACAAGCTGGCATACAATCCAATCACAAAGATTGGTGGCTATTGCATTCAAGGTATATGACGGAAGTTCGTAATATCTTGACATTGTGAAGAAGGATCTGAGGATGACTGTGTTTATGAAAGTAACATAGCCTAATTGTTCAGCCTACTCTCAAAATGACAAGGATGCAATCTTGCAACGTTTAATTCAAATCGACACACATACTAACTAAATCCAATTAATGAGCTGGTTAAGGGTATCGTCGATATAAAACTCCTTTGTGCGAGGTTTAAATTGAAAAAAAACGATACAAGCCATATGATTCATAGTCACTTCGTGTTTCTGCCCTGTACACAAATTATTTTGGCTGCAAATTTTATGCAATCACTCAATACAATGTACAATAAAAGTGGGTCACATGTAAATAAAACTAAGCGGTTGTTTATATGATAAAATATACGATAATGTTCTCGAAGATGAAATCATGCATCTATTATTGTTGACCGATAATGTTTCAACCGAATTCAAGATATGAAATTACATCTGTGCCTACAATTGTATGGGTTATTGACCTCAGTCAAATTGAAACTCCCACGTATAATATATAGGTTATCCCTATCTTGGTGGAAAATATTGCATAAAACTTGATAAACTCTTCTGCTTGTTTGAACTAATATTTACGTCTTACTTTGGTTGGGATGGGCTGTAATAGTTGGACAACACCCTATTTGGATACCAAGCTCGAGGGATCTAGTAGGACGTAGATATGTAGCACAGGAGGTTTAAGCAGGTTTCTCCACCCTCAAGACTGAATGCCAAAAAGTCCACATCCCTTCAGTCTCAACTTTATCTGATTTGCTCATTTCAAGCTTCCTTCATGTTTCGGATGAAAAATTCTGTACAAGAACAGAATGTTTTAGAATGAAATTGACCTTCCCAAGAATGGATTGAAGGCGTGTGAACGCACTCGGGATAGTTCGATCGCACGTTAGGACCTATGCCCCGTTCTATATTCAGGATTTAATAACAAGACCAACATAATAAGAATACTCGTCTATTATAATTACATGTTGAAACGTGAAGTAATAAATCTGTAACATAAACTTTAAAAATTTATTATCTAATGATTAATCAGGACCAATATCCAAAAGATATCTCAGAATGCAAATGAGACTAGATATGGTTTCAACTAAACTATGCACATACATACTTGGGTTGCGCTCGTTAATAAGAGTGCATCCATGTTACTGGGAGTTCGAGTCATAGAATTGAAACCTTATTAAACCTTCACAACAGACTTGATTCAAACTTTGGGGCTAGGGTCACTTGATTTGTGCTCTACATTTGACTAGATATAAAAAAAAATTTACAAAAAGTTATTTACATATCTTAGCGATTAGAAATACTTCATGTCGTTCTACAATTGATGTATTGAGCATTATATTAACAGTGAAAACGTGAAAAGCTTTTAAATTTTGCATTCCCAATCTGAGCAAGGGAACTCAAGCACGGTATCTTTTAATTTTTCAAAGCGAGCTTCGCTCGGGAATACACCATTGTGTCATTGTGACGTTTTAATAATAGATAAAATACATGTATTATGAGATGTATTTAAATTAATGTAAAATGGCATTTTAGGAGTTAGTTTATGGTACATCAATTTTGAGGAATGTTTTAGAATTCCTGTGCA